TTAATATTAATACTAAATATTTAAATTAAATATTAAAAAGGATCAAACTACTGATACATGTAACTGTGGATGAATATCAAATGCATTATGTTAAGAAAAGCTAGAATCCAAAGGCTACATATTATATTATTTTCTACATATGAAATTCTAGAACAGGCAAAAATCAATCTATGGTAGAGAAAACTCAGAATGGCAGTTGCCTATGCGGTGGGCAGGGGCAAGGATTGCCTGGAAAGGAACACTATGGAATTTTCTAAGGTGATAGGAATATTCTGTATCTTAAAGTTTGGGTACATGGAGTATGCATTTGTTAGATGGATATTCAAGATTTGAGGATTTCATTGTATGTAATTGTTACATAAAAGGAAGAACTGCAAACAAATATTGAAGGCTAACAATAAGTATGCTATGGTATTTAGAAGTAAATGTTCTATTGTTTACAGTTTATTTTTAAATGCACCAAAAGTAGAATGAATTGATGAATTGAGGGATGGACAGGTGGATAGACAAGGGATAAAGCAAGTATAATAAAATATTAGTGATATGTGTTCACTGCAGAATTCATTTAACCTTGTTGTATATTGAATTTTCCTATGTAAGTGCTGTAAAAAAGAAAAACTTTATAAAGAAAGCAAAACAATTATTATTATCAGAGTAGACTTCAAGACAAAGAATATTACCAGAGACAAAGAAATGGCATTTCATAATGACAAGTAGTTCAATACACAGAGAAGAAAATAATATTAGATATATCTGAATCTAATAGCAGAACTTCAAAATAAATGAAGCTAAAATTGATAAAATTGTAAGGAGCAATAGAAAAATCTACAATTCTATGTGAAAGTTTTTTTAACACCTCTCCCTCAGTACTTAATAGAACTAAAAAAAATCAGGCAGGATACTGATGATAAACACGACATTGTCAATTACCTTGACCTATGGATATTGTTCAGATCATTATATCCAACAGCAGCTGAACCCATATTCTTTTCAAGCATATATGAAACATCCCACAAGACAGACTATGAAACTGGGCCATAAAGCAAATTTAAAGGACTGAAATCACACAGAGTTCCATTTTAGTGGTAATGAAAGCAAAATAGAAATCAACAATAAAAATATACCTGGAGGAGACTTTCAGAAAGATGATGGAGGGCTAAGCAGCAGCAAATTAGTCTCTCCAAGATTTGGAATTCAGACACCAGGAAATAACAACTGGGGTGGGGTTAGGGAGGAGGTGGATCCCTGGGTCTCAGGAAAGATCTGACAGGAAAATTTGAGCCTACAAAGAAATGTAAGAGACAGAACACAATGCAGAAAAAGAAAGAGGTAATCTGCACTTTCTCCCCAGCTCCTAGCACTTGAGAGAAAGGAAGACCCAATCTACAGAGATACAGTGAATGTTGGTGACTATAGAGCCCATCAGGGAGAAACATACCACTGGAATGGACCAGTGGATGCTATGTGCTAAAACGAATGGTGAGCAACTCCAGTCCAAGTGTCTTTCATATTCCCTGGAGAGAGTGCTTGGACACTGCCACAAAACTGTAGACATGGGAAGATAACCACAGGATTGAAATCACAGAGAAAATTAAATCTTGGGGCTGTGGCAAAAGGTTATAGTTAGCTATGCCTTTTTGTTGTTGTTGTTTTCATTTCTTGTGAGTGTGAGCATTATTCTTAGATTTTTGTTTTGTTTTGGTTTGTTTTTCTCTTCTCTTCTTTCCCTTTTTCTTCACCAGTTTCCTGGAGCTTGGATAATCTTCCTTTGTCCTTTAGCCTTGCTTCTAATCTTTTTCTTCTTTTATTTCTTTATTTTTCTCATTTCCCTTTTAAATTTTCTCCCCTGAATTATTTTCTCTTATTTTACTATCCTGTTTTAATTATGTTATTTCACTACGTATATCCTCTTTCTTTTACTCCATATTTTTTCTTTTTTATTTCTTGTCAGATTTTTGTCTTATCCCTACCTATTTTTAGACATCTTTCTACTTGCCAATAAGATCCTTTGAAACACGTTTCTCTCCTCTTTCTCAAATCATAGAGTTTAAGGTTTCAAAGTTCCTATTTTGCATGCTCTAATTCCCAAACTACATTTTAAGAGTGTAACCATAAAGCTTTGTTAATCTTTTGATAGTTAACGTTGTAAAATTACTTTTGAATCTTACCTACCACTAGTAAAGATATAGCTGTTGCACTTAGTACATATTAGCAGAGAGTCAATTCCTGGTTTGCCTTATGTTTACATTATAATTGACAGTTTCTTCTTTAGGATCAAGGGTGGTACATAACTGGTTCTTATGGTATGTTAATATCTAATTTGTCTTAGGTGATGCTACTGTGGTTGTTTTGCTTCATATTAACAGGGTCACATAATTGTCACTATTTCTGTGTAAGACAATACTCAGATTGCCTTTGTGACATCAGTGGCATAGCTGGGAGGTTGAGGGACTAGTTTTTCCCCTGAACAGCTCAGTGTTTGGGCAGCATTATTGACCAAAAGGAAAATTACATTGTAACAATTTATTGCATTTTAACATGGAAAAGATTTGAGTATATCACAATATGAATGTTTTTATGTGTAATTTACATTTTTATTTAAATAGGTTAACATATTCAGATACGTTGGAGGGATGCAAATTGAAGGACCATGCTGAGGAGCATGAACTGTGGCTATGCCACTCTGTGACTTAATAATATTAGAGTACATACTCAGATAACTTGCTTGCCAGACTAACTACAATGTATCTTCTTCCAAAACAAACAAAATGGTTAAATCTTGGGGCTGTGGCAAAAGATTATAGTTAGCTATGCCAAAAGTACATAACTAAAAAGCAACTAAAGAGATCTCTATACTAGCAACAAAGTCTTTAGACTATAAGCACCCATAAACCTCAGCACAAAACAAAGCAAACTAATAAACAAAAACAATAAAAACATGGGATGAAAAAACAACAAAATGTCTCCCAAAACTTTCAACTTTCCCAAAGCCAATCCAGGGGGCACTGAGGGGAAGAATAGTGTAAGCCACATATCAGAATTACTCAAAAGAAAAACAGAGGAGATTAAAAATAGCTCACAGAGATACTTGGGGGGAGATTAGAGAAGATATAACTGAACAGATAAGAGATGTAATAATCAAAATGTTTCAGAAGCTCTCATAAGACACTAATAAAAAGGTAAAAAAGCTAAATAAATGATACAGTACACAAATCACCAGTTTAACAAAAAATTAGAGGCCATGAAAATGTTTCAACCAGAAATTCAGGAGAATAAAAATTATACTGAGATGCAGTGACCCCGCCCTCACCTGGCCTGCATCCAGAGTACCGGTGAGGACCAGTCAGCCATGCAGGCACCTCTGCAACATACCCATCCCCCATGCTATTGGGCCTCCTGATTGTGGCAGTTCCTGGATCCACTCTGCAGAGGCACAGGTCATAAAAGTCATTTTACTGAGCTTCAGAAGATAGAACGGAAGTGAACAACTGCAATAAAGGCCCATCAGACCTCCATAGTTGATAAATTGGAGGGATCACCACCTTCCATCAGAACTTTGACTATCTTCAGAGAAAGTGTAGAGGGAACCTGTAGTAGAACCTTGCAGAGTTCAACCCTGCAGGAAGTCCAGGAGCTCAATTTGGACCTTGAAGCCAGAATTCGGCCTGAATCTCAGGGGTCTGCCATTGGCTAGCTGAGACTAAATGACTTAGTTCTGCAGATTGCTGCACACGTTATCTATTGCGACAGCAGAGAAATATCCTGAAAGAGGCTCTTCAAATTATTTTTCTTCTTTCTTTTCCTCATTCCATTCTGCAAATTCTTTTTTTCTGTCTTCTTCTTCCCACTCAGTCTCTTGCTCTGACATATTATTCTTCATCTACCTTTCCGTTACTGTTCTTGCCCTAATTCAGATTTCTTATTATTTTATTTTGCTTCTTTTTTTCTTTTCTATTCTTCTTTTTTTCCTAACTTGAGGGTCATTAGTTTCAAAGGAAAGTGAGTCCCTATTTCTGTTAAGTTGTTCTATTCTTGTCCTTGTTCTTGCACTCTGTCTTTCTCTCTTGTCTTCAACAGTTTCTTAAGTTTGCATGATCATCCTGTGTCCCCTGGCTTCAATTGAAACCTTCTCCAATTCTGCTACCTATCTATTCCTCTCTTCTTAAATCTGTCTAAGTACCCATCCTAAAGGGTAAAGTTGCTATATTGAAGAGTTTATTCACTATAAACATATTTTGGGGTGCTCCTCGATTTTGATTTAATTCATATGGTTTGAAGGTGATAGCTTAATAACTACCACAAATGGTCAGTAGTTAAGCTGTGCATGATGCCATGGTGTTGCTGATTGTATCAACTAGTCTAAAGGGTGGTGATTGATTTAACGTGTTGTCCTTTCTTATATTATGAAAATGAGAATGTCTATGAGCCATTAGAGACTCAAAAGCTAAAGAGCAACTATATCAGGAAGATCAGAGTAATAACCCAGGAATTAAACCAAGGACTGATAAACAACAAAAATAAAAATGAGATAACACTTAAGCAAGACACAAAGACAGACTTCCAGTTCACAAATGGCAAACTCTAGGGGAATTGAGGTGGAAAAGTCTGACAATCAACCACCAGGATACCCTGAACTTATAGCACAGGAAGTAACAAAACAGATCAATAGGGCTCTAGAAAAATTCAAAACAGAAATAAGTTT